CGTGATCGTGCTTCCCGTCCTCCACAAGACCGTTCTCTATATCGTCTTGTAAATGAAAGTTTATCAGACGGTTATGATGATATTGTAGAAAACACCCCTTGACTTTTATATACTTTGAACTAGACAAATAGAACCAGTTTTGAACTAGTTATAATTAGTTTTAACTTGGTTTTGAATTTTTATGTTCAATTAAACTTTAATTTGTTAGTTTTAAAGTATTTATTGAATGTTTTGGTTGTTGTTGTTGTGTTGTTGTTGTTATTGTTGTTGTTGTTGTTGTTGTTGTGTTGTTGTTGTTGTTATTGTTGTTGTTGTTGTGTTGTTGTTATTAGGTGTATTTGTATGCTGGCAGGTGGTATAGGTGCCAAAACAGGCATTTTATGCCAAAATTAAACCCAGAAAAAATGGACCAAAGTTGGTCGGTTTTTAATAAAAAAATAAATTATTCTAAAATACCGACCAAAGTTGATCGTTTAATGAACATTGAATTCTCAGAATTCAATATTACCGACCAACTTTGGTCGATATTTTACCTGCACTGTTGAGATTACCGACCATAGTTGGTCGGTAATATTTAATTTTAATTATTTTAAATATATATATTTTTTTAATTACCGACCAAAGTTGGTTGATTTTTTTTAATTTTAATAATTAATAAAAAAAATATAATTTAGTTAAACCAACCAACTTTGGTCGGTAAAATTAAATTAATAAAATATGTTTCCGACCAAAGTTGGTCGGTAAGTAATTAAACTTGTCAGATGGTCGGTAAGCCATTCCGACCATCAAAACACCGTCCACACCGTAATGGTCGCGTTTTGGTCGGTAATTATCCATAATCGACCAACGTTAGTCGATTTTTTTGATCGGTTTTTAGCGAATTTCTAGTAATGAATTCACATACTTGTTACAAACTCACTCTGCTATAGCTAGTTTTTTGTAGTAGCATATAATTTTCTCCGTAGTTTGTTTCCATTATAATATAACAACTGTAGTTAATTTTGTGTTTACTGTACTTTCTCGGTTTCTTGTAGTATTTGGTTGTCAATACAATTATTCATTTATTCTATATCAAAACAAATACAATGTGTAGTAAATGTGGATAGAAACGTTGGAAATGACATGATATGTAACGGGATAGAAAATGAAATTTATTAAGTAATATTAGAGGTTAATTAGTGTTGGATATGATTTCATCTGTGGACAATAAATTCTTAATTTCGGCAAACTTCTTTATATTTAATTAGAAGTAGAGGTGGGAACAAGAAGCTAGTGCATCATTTGAAGAGTTTTTGGTACCATTCCGTTTGAAAGAACTTTAACAAGTGATGTGTTGTTCATTTTCTTGCTCAACAAATAAATATTGAAATTAACTGAATTATAACAACCGCATATATAGTTTGTTATCAATTTCACACTTTTCATTTCCAACAAACATTTTTTACACTTAGAAGTAGAGGAGTTTGAATAAGATCAAGAGCATATTTTTGCCCTAGATTTTATCTTCAAAAGCACAAATTTTAGAGATCATTATTTTTCTCACTAGGGTTCCCATAATATATTATAATAATATTACCTTACCTTAATAGCAAGCTTGGGATTATCCTTTGTTGGTAGAAAGAAGGAATTGAAGTGTTTATTTTCCTTCAAATCCCCAAAGTAAGTGCAGCCTTAGCATCAAATCTCCATGCAAATCCTCCAAAATCCATCTTCCACACGTCACAAGGCATTGTCCTTGTCTGTTTCACCTTATTCATTGTATAAACAACTCTCACAGTGCATGCAAAAGCTGATAATCGTACAGTTTTTTTCTCCTTCAAAACTAACCTCACCACCATCTCCGGCGGCGCTCCTCCGTCTTCTAACGGATCTATCATTCTCCGATACGCTAGATTCACCCACTGTACCCTATCTAAGCCGTCCGATATCATACCTGGACACGTGTCAGCTTCCAGATTCTTCATCTTCTCCGTATCCGTACTTCCTAAGGCTGATAAATCTACCAAAGTGTTTGTTATACCATCAACCATCACCCATGACTCCACTACCTTCGCAGATCGCATCTCCGCCGTCCGATCTAACAGATTCGGTGCACCGATTGATAAAATATCGATATTCTCAGATTTATCAAAATTCATCCAAAAATTGATGGTTTTTGGGAAAGATCTGTTATCTGGTGAGCGTTTAACTCCTCCACTACTTTCTGGCAGTAGTTGTAGTGTTACAACTGTTCCATGATCATCCAAAACTAAGGATCCATCTTTTGTTTCTTTGTCTTCTTTTTTATTCTTGTAGTTGCTATTTTTCTTAACTCTAACGTACTTTCTCTTTGTTCTTCTTTTGCTAACCACTTCAATCTCGTGAGTCTCGATCGTAGAGCCAGAGCCTGAAGAATTAGCGACGGGTTTCGGCGCAATCGGCCGGAATCTTAGCATCATCTTGTTGATTATTGTCATATCTTTTGGTGCGCCTGAGTATTCTGGGCCGGCCCAATTGTTTTCGATGTCCATGAAATGAATATCTAGCTCTATTTACATGCGAAGAGCGGACTTTAGACTAAAAAAAAATAGGCTTTAGCCGGATGCCGAGATGATTATCATAGTTACAGGCAATAGTCGTAGGGCTAGGAAATTACACCACGTGTCTAGGGCAAACCCTTAAGCCGAGAAGAGCTGTGATTGGTGGGATGAGATCAGGTGGGTCCCAATAGTAAAGCAGCATATCCAGCGAAAATGGAAATAGTTTTGCTGTGATTGGTGTGCCAAGTGAAAACCAATGGGAAGAAGTCACGTATAGAGCACTGAGGAAAAGAAGGAGACACGTATGTACCTGGGTAGAAGCAAAGTGGGAATGCTTTTTCTAGGAGGTTCCGTTAACTGGACGCGTGTCCGTTGTTTGAATTGTTTGAGTATCCAATATTCCCACTGCCCTAGCTTGATCGTGTGAATCACCTCCCCCCCC